AAGAGAAAGGATACCATCCAGGCCGTCAAAGCACGATAGGACTACATCGTGTCCCACAAATGAAATTATTTTCATTTTAAATCACGAGGGGGGTCTCGTTGGTGATGTGATGGCATAGCTGTGTTTGAAGGGTGACCCTCTTATTCCCAGTTCTTTTATATAAGACGTTTCTAATCGTGTTCGTCCCCTTTCCCAGATAATGTAGGTGACGATGAGATGAAATTTGATTGAACCTAATATATCATCTCCTAGACGTATAATACCAAAGAATTTGAGCACATCGGTTCATCAAATTCGTGAAAGTTCGATTGACTTTGACAATATATCAGCTCCTGCGCGTATAATACCAAGGATTTCGGCAGAAACATCAATTTCTAAACGGTCATTTAATTAATCTACTGCTCCTACACTTCCACCATGTTTTAAAGATATGGATACGATTTTTCAACTTGCAAATTGGTTATGTTCGAATCCAAATGTTCTCCAATTTGCTAATGCTATGTATTCATTAATGCAATCATCACTTGTAAATGGATAACAGTCAATGCCATCAATTTTAAATTCGATAACATTACAATCACAATTGACATTTCAAGAAGATAAAGTAAGATTCTTTATTTTTGTTTTTGATTATTTTAAAAAGCTACTAATAAGATTTATTTACACAAAGGATAGTCGCAATTATTTAGAAGAACTGAAATGTCTTTTCCTTCGTACTCGAAATCCTCCAAAATATGCATTTGAAGAGTTAGTACGACAAATAATGAAATGCGAACTTAATTCAGCCGAAGGTTTAGAAGGTTGAAGATCGGGTATAGATATTTTGGTGACTTCCGGAATAAATTTCTCGATGGAATAGAAAAATTGGTCATTTCAATTAAGGAAAAAAAAACAAAGTTAGTATCCCTTTTTGACTTTAGTTTATGTTTATTTTAACAAAAATTTTTAATAAAATTTTATATTTTATTAGGCAAGGCATTCTTACAACTTTACTGCGTCAAGAAGAAACGACAATGACCGTGTTAAAGCGATGGTTAATTGTTGTGAAATTCGACGAATTAAAAGCAAACATTTCGTTAATTTATTTAAGTCATCTAGTTAAAAGGGCACTCATTCTTAATTAAGCTATCAGAGATACAGAAGGGACAAAATCCTTGGATAAAATAACACAAAACATATCCGTTCCATCTCGAAATGGCAGAAATTACGCTTCTAATTTACAATTATGAAGTGGGCTGGTCATTATAATGATTGTATGTATCGATAATATAACAATATATTGTTATTTAACAATAAAACTAAATTTTATTACAATACTGCGTTAAAATATGCATTTTTATTTATCCGAGTTAAAATAGATATGTTTATTTATTATAGTAGAAATTATTATTACAATAATTGCTTCAAATAAAAATTTATCTAAACGAAATAAATGTATTTATTATAAACATCGTTAAATGTTATTTAATTCATCGACAGAATATCTTGGATTAATTTTTTCGGATAATTTTCTATTTTACTTTCTGATTTATTAATATATTTATTACACTTTGTTAATGTTCCAAAAATATTTATAATTGAAAAATTAACGAAATTCTTACGAATTCGCCAAGCTAACATGCGGCCACGTGATCGATGCGAATTTGGGTCGGTTTCGTGACGACTAGGATGCAAATCATCGGGTTTCTGCAAAGTTTCTAATATTCCATTCGAAATTTTACGTAACGTATTATTGCCATGAACATTTACTGTATGTGATTAAGGAAGTAATTACAATAATTATTTTCTTGAACGAAATTCTACCTTATTTAACGATTCTTAAATATCACATTATGAAAATGACATAAATCACTAAAAATAAATTTCAGTTCCTAATTTATAAGTGATGAGTAAAGTTCCTGTAGTGTATAACAGTATTCTGATTGCCTATGCTATTGGTGTATTTCATTTAATTTTTTCTGTAAACAACTTATATGTTATTCGATCTTTAATAACACTTAAAATATTATATTGATTTTATGCTAGTGCTTTATCTGCTTAATAAAATTTTATAAATTATTTTTTAATTCTGAATCCAATTTTTAATAATGATTACTGCGCAAAGTCATGTTTTCCCACAACGAAACAACAGGTTAGATCCTTTTTTTGTTAGGAAAATGATCTTCCCGCATGTGATGGGCTGACAATATATACTAAAAAGAGCTGTCCTAATAAGGACGGATAAAGAACTCTTGCTCAAAACTGAAACGAAATTTTCAAATAAACATTAAAATTTGGTCAATTTCAGGATTGCAGAAATGGTTTTAAAGAGTAACTTAATAGATCTTGAGCAGAAAAGTAAAAAGGAGGATGAAGAAAATCAATTGGTGCTCCCTGATTTATTGAATGAAATAGGTAGTACGGATCTGTATGATTTAAAAAAATTATTGGGAGGAAGAAAGCTTGCTGAGATATTAGATGATCAAAGGATAGATCTTCAATACTCCAATTTTGAATCATCATGGTATAATTCTCAATTTAAAATTTTAGAAGAAAAGATAAAGGTGCAAGAAGAAGAAATCAATGCCAAGCAAAAAATTATTAATGATTTAGAAAAAATAATTAGGGAGCAAGAGAAAAATACCAGAAAAAATGATTAAAGGGTTAAAAGAAGAAATTAGAGGGAAAGATAAAAAAGCCAAAGAAATAATTAAAGATTTAAAGACAAAGATCGGAGAAATTATTTTTGATAATAATTTAACTATGACCAACAATAGGTATCAAAATGAAATTAGCTTTGATGATACATTTTCACAACGAGATAACATCACAGGAAGATCAGGTGATATAAAATTTGACAATTTGAGTTCAGGATCATATAAACCATTTAAACCCGTTAAAGATGAAGAATTTCAAAGCTTGATTAATAAACCCTTTCCCACCATCAAATCAGTCCGTAAACATAAGGGTTATGATCTTGTATTTTCACAACAAAATAACTTCACAAGATCTGTTGCGATAAAATTTGATGATAATTTGAGTCCAGGATCAAATGAACCAATTAAATCCGTTACAGATGAAAATTTTCAAGAATTGATTGAAACATCAACTGAAATAAAAGATGATGATAATTTAAATTCAAAATCAAAAAAACAAATTATACCTGTTACGAATGAAGAATATCAATTATTGATGAGAACACCCATCAAATCTATTCGTAAACAAAGGGGTTATAATAATATACATTCACAACATGATAACACGGCAGGAAGAATATCATTTGAAATAAAAGGTGATTATAATTTGAGTTTAGGTCAAATAAGCAATTAATCCCATTTCACAACAAAGATTAACACCATAGGAAGAAGATTAGTTGATATATAATATGATATTTCGAGTTCAGGATCAAATAAACCAAATTAAATCCTTTACAGATGAAGGATTTACCATCAAATCAGTCCATTGACATATTAATAACAAGTTAGTTGAAATAATAGTGATGTTAATTTGAGTTTAGGATTAAATAAACAATTACAGATGATGAATTTTAAGGATTGACGAAAATAAGTATCGAAGGGTTAATATAAGGAAGAAGATCAGTTGATTTGAGTTCAGGATCAGATAAACTTTTTACGGATGAATTTCAAGAATTGATTGAAACATCAACTAAAACAAAAGTTGGTGATGATTTTAAGTATTTCAAGAATTCTGATAAAACACCCTTGAAATTAATCCATTAAGTTCAGGATTAAATATACAAATCAAACCCGTTACAGTATGATTTTATTTGATGCTACTAAATTAAAAAGATACTGTAAATTCAAGCTGTATTTATCGTTACATCGGAAAGAAATACCAAAGATATGTAATAGTAACAATAATAAAAATAAAAAAACATAAACAATAATGAAGATCCAAAGACGCAATATTTACAAATTTTACAAATCTTCCAGATGATTTTGGTATATCAAATATATCAAAAAGATTGACCGACATTACGTCGTTGGGAATAATGGATCTAACATAATTAAAGACTTTTCTTTTAATACAGGCCTCAAGCAAATCCTGTAGATCAAATTGCGAAGTTTTTGTACATATTTCTAAGTTGTCTTTTCTCGTTTGGTTTTACAATTTATAAGCCATAATCCACAGAAACAGAGGTACGTTATCGTTAAGAACGTACTGCTTGAGATAATAGACGCTGTTTATTATTTGCTGGTATCTACTAACTCAGATTTTCTTTCAGCGAGCAAGCGGCAACCACATTTTCTTTCCAGCAAGTCCACCACAGTTGCAGACACGTAAGCTTCGTTGAATTCATCTATTTTTTAGTGATAAGTTTCCTATACAAATCACATTTCTGTATGTACCTCTTCAAATTATTTTTACAAGTACAAAATTTAAAATCAATTCTTCAATCTTTAGAATATAGAACAAGTACTTGTCGCTTTGAGAGTGGGAGAGAAATGGTGGGAACTGTTCAATCGTGCTCTGAAAGAAACGGTTTGATCAGTTCGGCATATTTATCGGCAATTAATTAAGTGTTCCTTCACCTTCATACTTTTGCAAATTTTGTATGTTGTAGGAACCAATTGTAATATCTACTAGTAAGCACCTGCCTCATCATAAGACTTTTTAACATTCTGTGGTAATTGGCCATTTTCCCACCATGAATGGATTTTTGAGGCTTTGCAACCTAAATTCTTTATAAGGCCGATATATAAGTCAAAAAGGATGTTTCTATCCCCCATAGATACACAGTTTCTAAATCCGTATTCATATAATACCGATGCTTCCGTGGGCATTAATTCGTCATAGACACTTTTGACGCGATCCTTCCGGAGGACATTCAAACACATAATTATGGTAGTCATTCTTTCAACACGATATACTACAGTAATACTTTGTACGACATCTCATACAACGGATTGTTGTGGGTCCTTGCTTCATCTTTGGAAATTTTTATACTTTAGACGCCTTTAAAAGGAAATTGTTTGCTTAACCAAGCGCATTTTTATCGAAAATTTTGTAATGCTTTTCTATTTTAAGTAAAAAAAAAGAAAAAAAAAATCAAAAAAATGAGAATGTATTACTATTATTAATAATAATAAAAAGATAACTTACCATTATTAGAACGAGTTGCAATATTTAATTCTTCATCTTTACGCTAGTTTGAAGAATTTATTGGTGAAGCAGATGTACGATTATAGGCTTCCATACCATATTTTGTACATTTTTCATTCAATATAGACGACCTAATATAATATCAAAATCATAGAATTAAATAAAGCAAACGATTTGTTAAAAAATTTCAAAATTTAGAATTATCATAATTATTACCTTGTATCAAGATCGTGCTCTTTCGAGAAATCCCAAAAAAAGTTAATAATTTAATGCTATAAATCTTTAATTATTTAATCTTTGAAAACAAATAATAAATGCGTACCATGGTTTGTATCAGAAAAATTATTATTGGATAAAGGTCAATGAACTTAGAGATCTACTCGCTCGTAAAAATTGCATTTGAATGAAGATTTTCGCTTAATTTTGGACCCAATTTCATCGTTCGTATTAATTCAAACCTTTTTTCTTCAGGTTTGTTTAAATTGTTTGGCACTATCATCTATAGAATCCCATTCGTAAACCTTATTTTTATTTTCATTAGAATCCCAAAATCTCTTCATTAAATTTGCGAAACATTCAGGAGTATCTTGAGTAATTTCAGGTCGTTTTCCATCAATAATTTCACAAATGAGATCAATATTATGTTCAACAGTTGAGAAGATTTACAACCCGATGTTAACTCCCACATAAACATCAGATTCTTTTGAAAATTTAGCGCCAACAAATATTTCAGGTGCAATGTAGGTACTACTCCATATATTTCGTCGTCCTGTCAATCCAAAATCACCAATACCCCATTATTTTAGGTTGACAATATATTTCCACTTTGAAGATCTCTATATAAAAATTTTTTCCGTGAAAATTGAAAGACTGGAATTATTAATAAATCAAATATAATTGATATTGCAAATACAAAATATAATGTATATACTGTATATAAAAATAAATACCCTTTTGAAATGCCATATATAATGAGTAATTTATGTTCCCACGTGATATAATTAAAATTTATTTGTGAATAATTATGCAAATCTCCTCTATTTGAATGTTTCATTATTAACATATATTCTGCTGTCTCCGGTGCTTGAGAGATACCACGGTATTGAATGATATAATTCCCATTATCGACTTCATAGCATTGATGTAATAAATAAAAAAAATTTGTCTAACCTTCCAAGAAAATCTTTAGATGGTCTCACAATGCATGTCTATCAGCAGTTCGTGAATAATGTTGTTCTTTTTAAACAAATATAAAATTTATAAAGCATTACGGAGACATTTTTTTATGGAAAATTATATAAAATTAAGACTTTGAATGTTAAGAGAATCCAAAAATTTCGAAAATTCTAATTGGTAGGGAAATAAAATGTAATTTAAGCTAACATTTCACCTGAAATTCGCTTTGCGCCGCTCGAAGTACAATTCGAATTGCAGTTTTCTTCCCATACATTACAGTTTTAAACATGTAAAGAAATTGCTCTATAACCTTCTATTCCATGGTAATTTAACAATATACTTACTCGCTGACAGTTTTTACACACTTTTGAATTGAGCAGGGTGTCGAACTCATTAGAATTATACTTGTATGCACGTAATACGACGTGTAATTTTAGCCCAAGTTCAAAAATAGTTCAAGTAGCTAAATAAACTTGATATGTCCACGTTAACAGAGATAAAAAAATTTTATCGTTATGGTAAAGAGTAAGAAATATAGGGTTCCCTTTTTAAAAGTTTGTGCGACCAGATCTTGTGACTTGATACATGATTTTTCGATGCCGTGTAACGAGAATTATTTTGAAGTTACTTATTTCTCTAGATATTTTTTCGGTGACATTTTCCGGACATTGTTTTTCCATATAGAATTTGTCCAACTACAAGAATTATATTGACGATAATTGAAACCAAATTTTTATTAAAGCAACGTTTAGCAATTAACATAAAAGTATCATTATCAATTTAATTAGCGCTAATTTTAGAACTCTACATAATGATAATAATATATGTAAAATTTTACATATACTGTAGCTTTAATTCACTGACAATTATAGAATAATATAAGGACTAACTGGTACGTTGTGTATCACTGACGATCTATCTGTTCTGTATAACTAACTAACTCTCTTCGGACAATAGTTATAAAAATTTTTGAGTTCTGCAGTCTTCGGCCGAAATAAAAAAATAAATGATCGGCATGACAAAAAATTTTGATATTGTCGCTTTTGGCCAGAATATTCTTATCTTCCTGTCTTTTCCAAATAAATTAACATTTACTATAAATGTAACTGCAGCGTATATAGCGAAAATAATAGCTATTTGGTTTGAAAATTTAAATGAATTTTCCAACGAAAAAATTTCTTTGTTTGCTTGAGTTACTTTCCAAAAAAACTGTTGTGAAACAATTCTTATGAATAATCGGGCGTACAGTACAAAACATATATATACAGGACATTTCAAAAATTTTAATTAATCTGTAAAATGATAAATATATCCTTAACTAAACCAACTCGTAAACAAAAAAAATAAAGGGACTTACATACATTGTAATGAATGCAATAAAAGAAAAAGGCCTTCAGAAAAAGATCTATGGATTTGCCGAATTCTATATTAAAAAGTGTGATAGGTGTCATAAATGGATAAATTCACAGATTTGTAAAAGTTGTATTAAGTGTCATCCAAGAAAGATATATTCAAAAGAGTATGGTCAGGATTGTCTAATCTGTACCAAAGCAAAGACATTATTTATTCCAAGCGGAAACAACGTTATTGACGAATTTATTTTAAATACACTAGTTAGTCATGAAAGTTTTGTAGGTGTAATGGAGTTTGTACCTTATAATAAATTCCAAGATGTAAAATTTATTATTGAGGGTGGATTTAGTAAGGTATATAGAGCTACATGGGTCGATGGTCCAATTATTGAATGGGATAAACAAACAAAACTTAAACGGGTTGGGTCCAGAACAGTTGCTCTCAAAAAGCTTAATAATTCTAAAGACATTACTATCAAAGAATTAAATGAGGTAAATATTTTGTTATAACAACACTATGTAATTAAAATAAGTATTTATTATTTATTCTTATTTACAAAATCCAGCTTAAAATATCCTATACCTCAACCTTAAAATTGGAAAAGGAATATGGCAATAGAACATCTGTTTTTGATAAGTATATAGTCAAATGTTATGGAATTACCCAAGATCCCATTACAAAAGATTTTATGATAATTATGGATTATTATGAATCAGGTGATTTAAGAAATTATTTAACAAAGAGCTTTTATAATGATTGGGGAGATAAGTTGAATATATTGAATGATATTGTAAATGGACTCGTCTATATTCATGGTCTAAATATTATTCATCGAGATTTTCATAGCGGAAACATCCTTTATAATGTATTTTACACAGTAATAAGCGATTTAGGAATAAGTAAATCTTCGACCGAATCAACGGACAATGATGATGATGTTTATGGTATTGTACCTTATGTTGCTCCAGAGATTCTTCAACGACAAAAATATACTATAGCTTCAGATATATATAGCTTTGGTATGATCATGTGGGAGTTAATGACAGGTAGAAGACCTTTTTGGAATCGAAGTCATGATACAGATCTTATTATTGAAATTTGTGATGGTCTACGTCCCCCAATTTTTACCTTCGCACCCGAGGGTTATATTGAATTAATGCAACAATGCTGGCATTCTGAGCCGAATCAAAGACCGTCAGCTGCTGAAATATACAATAACCTTATGAAAAGTATCATATCTAATGAATTTAAAAATAAGACTATAATTACAAAATCATTGGATATTGGTCCTATGATGACGAATCATCCTGGAGCAGTCTACACAAGCAGGCTCTTAAGTGAAATGATGACATCTGCTATTACAAGAAATCGATCTATCATTTCGAAACAAGGTAATTCTCTTTTTTATAATCAGAAAATTCATTATTGAACACAATTGTAACTCCAAACTATTCAAAAGGTAAAAGGATGCTCAAAGAAAATTTGGATGAAGACCACAAACTGGACAAAAAGAATAAATTATCTGAAGATAAATATATTGGTAAATACTTTTTTCTTATCTATAGCGATAATTTTCAATTAATTTATATTTAAATTTCATAATTTATGATAGATGGTTGTTATATAACGAAAGAATTTGAATTTGACATTTGAGATAGGAGCGGTTTGTGTCGAACAAAAGCTCTTATTCAAAGGTGTTTGGGAGGTGAAGTAAATTCAACAATATTATTATTGTTTTATTTAAATAAACTTTATTATAAATTGATGTGATGATAGTTTCATAAACATTTACAAGTACATTAACTCCAATTTTTGAACACTTTACTACGGATGGCGATGAACATTATATTATTTCTAATATATTTATTTATTATTTACTTATCATATTTATTATAGCATTATCTTAAGAATTGAATAGTATTGTAGTCCGACCTGGTGTAGACAGTTTTTTCAGTAGTAATAATAAATCTTGAGGTTGTACTTATAAAACTCTACAATATACTTCTTATTATACACTTTCAACTTTTTCGTGTCTTCATATCGATCGATCGTGTGATATTAAATAATCATTATGAAATGCATTTAATCAATGCTTTAGGACGAGCTTGAGAAGATTTGAGTTTGATTTGTTGTTTCTTCAGTGTAAAAACAGACTTATGTTTGCATAAGAAAAAAAATTTTTTACAATTACGAAAATTTTATTTTAATTATCCCGAAAAAA